TGATAAGAAAGATAAAGCGAACCACACCACAGCACCCTTAAGCCACACGCCACTTGTCTCCTTACAAAAAAAACCTAACAAAAATGTTGCTTTGTTTTGGTCAATATCAAACGAAGAGGTCATTCACTGGGCGAAGATGACTATTTCACCAATAGTCGAAAATGTGATTAAGTTAAGACAAACTGATACAAACTGCTGTGCAAAGTATGGGTGACATTGATTCACCCATTAAAGAGATATTTGAGGATACGTTGCGCCACGACATTTTTGACCGCATTATAGTTACGTAGTTGCACAGCAGCTATTTACAAAAGCATTAAAAGTCAGCCTCATGTTGCACTGTTGTTCACTTTACATCTAAATTATATAACAGAAGAAAAAAGGATCTGTACTCAGTAGCTCTTCACATCTCAATTTATCATCAACTTTCGAACGAGTTGATAATATATCATCCTCTTAAAGCACAAACACTGTCTTTCTTAAAACTATGTAGATGTTTTAACGCCCAAATCGACACAATTTAGATCATTTACAAGGGGGCTCCGACCCTGCTAGTCAGGTCTAACCTGTGTTGAGAAGGGCAAAATATTAATGTCATTAGTTCTAGCAGAACACAGTAGAGAGGTTCTTGTGGTCGAGAGGTTACGGTGTTCGCCTCTCATTCAATAGGTCCTGGGTTCGAATCCAAAGAGCTACGGGAAATTTTCTTCTCTAAAAATCTTATCCTTTCACCTTCTTTCCTGCTCTCTTACAATGTTCTGTCGTCTGCTTTCGTCTCCACTTTCTTTCTGCCCCACCCCCTCACCTCCGTTGCCCCTTCCTCTGGGCTCCTGGCTTTTTCGGCAGCCTTTCCACTGCTACTCATTGGCTCCTTCTTACTGCTGCCTTTCAGCACACCCCTGATCATCTTATGGTAGGTAAGATCGAACACCTAGCCTTCTCACTTCTCGGATAAGGGTGAACAATCTCGGAGGTCTCGTGTACAAGTTGCGTACGTTAAAGATCCCTTGGTGGTCCGAAATCGATAAGAGTAGGCTTCAGTCGCCACCCGGGCAAAATTAAAAAATTCCTGCCAACTGAAAATGTTTGGTGTGTCCCGTGCGCTCGTATGACCTTATGCAGTAGCGAGCACTTTAAAACACTTACCTTAAAAAAATTTAATTAAAAGCAATCCAAAAAAAAAAGAAAAAAAGCCAGAGATAGTCAATAAAAATTCTCCCCACTCAGGAATCAAATCAAACTCTCAGGTCTTCTTCTGTGGGACAGCGAAGTGCCTAACCGCCCACCTCTGACTCCAGTCACACAAAGCTGGGACGTTTTTGTTCGTTGGTTGCTTTTGTTCACAACACGCATTCGGCGAAAAAATCATCCTAAATGATAGAGACAAAACACAGATATGTTTTTTTTGGGTTATTTTTTTCAAGTTTTATTTCATGTTTTGCAAGTGCTCAATGGCCACCACCGGCAGCACGGACAACATCAAGCCGGTATCCGAATTCTTCCTAAACCCACCTCAGGTTGACTCGGCCCACTGTGTTTATTGTAGCTATTGTTCGATATGTTTTGTCATTGATATTTGCTGGAAGTGGTGGAACATAAACTACGTTATCTTTGACAGACCCCCACCGGAAGTGGCTTTTCACTTTACTGCACGCAGATTTGAATGACTTCATTTTTCAACAATGCGGAGCACCGTGCCATTGGCATCTCTGGGTTCGACCTTATCTGAATCAATGATCGTACATAACAAGATGGTTCACTCAGCCAAAAAAGTGTCCGCGGACGTCCGCTCATTGCTTCAGATGGTGCTGCAGTTTTTGTTTTGACGCTCGCGTGCGTAGATTGACTGCTGCTCATCAACTGTTCGGGTTCTTTCAGTGCGGAGTTTTTTTAAAATAGTTATTTAGGGTTTTTTTATTTAATGATCTCTCACCCCTCATTCTAAAGTCAAAGTAAACGAAGAAAACTGTCGCCTCTTCCGGCGTAACTATTTTTAAAAAGCGCTCTTCCGAAATTGGAATTCTTATTTATTAAAAAAACTGGTTAGTTTCACTTTTATTTTTTTCACACAAGTAGGGTAACTCGGTTCCCAAAGGGAGCGCATTGGCGAAGAGGGCGCGACCGAATTTTGAGGACAATTTTTTTTAATTGGCCCAAAGAGAGGAGTGAACCATCTTGTTATTCACGATTGGTAGGAGAGGTGCTGAAGACCTCGCTCTCTGCGGTTGGTCTGCCAGATCCCCAGACCTCAAGGCTTGTGACTTTTGTGTGTGTGTGTGGAGGTATGTTAAAGACAAAATAATTTCTCACATTTTGCGAATCCATACGACAATATGTTTTAAATGGATGTAAACGGTACTGAGTCTAGTTGTTAGGCTAATGGGCTCGTAATCGTGAGGCTGCGAGTTCGGGGTTTCAAGTTTCAGGCCCGAAGTTGTGTCCCTGGGAAAGGCACTTTACACCAATTTTCCTCACTTCAACCAGGAGAAGATGAGTACCTGGCTATATACAGCGAAACATTTTGTCAGATTCCAGTGTAGTATGCTTCTCAGGAAGTTGAGATTGTTTCAGGTCTCCTGGGGCAATAATACAGATTGTAAAGCGCAGAGAGCTTGTTGTTGAGCGAGAATATGTGCAAAAACTGCTCTATCTGTTAAAAACCGCAAAACGTTGATAAAAGACCCCAAAAATGTAAGTTTACAGTTTCCGAGGATTCTCAAACCTATAAAATTACAAAAATTTGGGTGCCATTTCCCTGTTTGTCTTACCTTTGATACCGTGCACCTCCCTCTCCCATTTTGCAAATGATACCTGGACGCATAGTCATAGAAGATGGGTATTTTTAAAAATCAAATGTAAGACAAATTACCATCTTTTAGGAAGGTACCAATAACTTTATATTCCCTGATTCCACCACACCGTAACACAAAATAGTCAAAAGCAATTTTTATTCTGAATTTATTCTGAAAGAATGTTTTAATTTTGCTAGAAGATAAACAATTCCTATCCAAATGTTATAAACAAGGACAAGGTCAATGGTCAGAGAAAGAAAAAAAAAACACCCAGAAAAAAGGAAAAAAAAGAGGCACATAAAAGTTTATATCCCTTTCAAAGTATTTTCACTCTTATTATCAGCAACATAACAAACAGCAACGCATGTCGTATAGTAAGTGAAGATAACCTAAAAGTCTCCAATCCTCATGTCGTACTCTAAAACATCCATTCTTTCCCCCTGCTCATTGTTTTCGTAAGTAAGTAAGTAAGAATATGGACTTATCGCTCCCTATCAACCTGCAAGTAAGTAAGGATAATGTGGATTTAAAGGCCTCTATCAACACTATTAGTGGTCTGCAATATGTAATTAAGAATACTACCGATTGAATGTTCCTATCAACGCTATTCATGTACTACACCAAGAGAGAAGCCGCAAGCTTCGCACATCCACAATAGAAATGGAGGCTTTAAAGGTTCGAAATGTGGCAAACCTTTCGATAAAATGGCAACCTCCACCCCCACCCCAACCCACTGCCCACCCCCCCCCCCCCCGATGAACACGTTAATATGAACAATGATATGGATGCATACAGGCTTTATTCCATTAGGAATTCAAAATGAACAAACGCTGTAAATGGTATAAATTAATTTTCTGCATGAAGTTCTTTTTGCTCAAACTAAAAAAAAAAAAAAAAAGTCTTCCAACCAACGAAGACCTTTATGCCTGGTTAATGACCATTACCGTGTCAATATGTTCCTCTTTGCTCAAACTAACCAGCACATTCATTTACCAACCTGTCAACCAAGGTAGAGCTTTTATACTTGGATAATGACCATTGAGCTTGGTAGGTGCTTTGGTGTGATTAGCCCCTTCTTTCCTACAAATCATCTATCGCCCTTATTTCTCATCCTTTTCTGTGTATGTCACTCTCTAATAACTCCTCTAATCTTCGACACTTATTTGGCCAATTTATGTCGCAAGTGCTGTAAAACAAACAATCTAGCAATCAAACAAACAAGTCTACCAAGAGCAAATTCTGCATAAAGAACGAGCAAGTCTCTAGCTGTGGTCATAGCGTAGCAAGCTTCCAATCGGCGTCTTGTTGTTGTTGTTGTTGCCTGTAGGAGTGTAAAGCCGACAGTTGTAGACACTCTCACAGGCTTGTGCTAGTCTTGTACTGTAGTGCGTTGCCAACCTCTCTTCTCTCCTCCTCCCATACACAAACTCTGGCACACTGCAATACATTTTTCACGCCCTGTTTCGAAATTAACGGGGTCTCCGAACTTTTTCGTCCCGCAGAAATGGTCATAAAAAGCTGTTCATTGGTAGGCCTAGTGACCACCTGTGCAAACACTTGGAATTCACAAAAGACCAAACCATAGATGCTCCAGTTGAATATGATGACAAACCGACCTATGACAGGAGTACCACAAGACAACAGCACTGTTTCTCCCTCCCCTACCGCCTCCTTCCTGTGAACACACATCTTCCCCATACTCTTCTCCTCCGGGTATGCCGGATCATCTTGGGGATTCCTCTCGGACACATACACGAAGAAATCCTCCAATCTCCAATAATATGCAACACGGTTTGTGACTTTGACAGAGTAAACAGTAAACGGCTGAAGAAGATCGACCATCCACCAAGTTGGTCGGTTTAGCGCCTGGTCCTGAGGGCCATGTGTATGACAGCAGGAGCCGGAATCCCAAAATGGACTGCTGTCTCCGTCATTGCCGAATTTGGCGTACCCCTCATGCCTTGTACTACTTTGTTCTGAAGGTTTTCTCAGAGCTACATTGTCCAAACCGTTTACGGGGTATGGGAAAGTTGGAGAACCAGGACAAGACGTATTATGCTGGGAATGCAGACTGAAAGAACGTTCTTGTACTTCCAAATGTTTTTCAACATTGTCAGTTGTTTGTAGGTCGTCACTGTTCGTTTTTGTTTCATATCCAGCAGCCTTTGCCACGTACACCGAGCGTTAATGTATTGAAAAGTTTGTCTTCGTATTCTAATGTGTGGATTCACTCAGTATGTGTGTGTGCGAGTGCGTGTGTGCGAGTGCGTGTGTGTGTGTGTGTGTGTGTGTGTGTGTGTGTGTGTGTGTGTGTGTGTGTGTGAGTGTGTGTATTTGTGTGTGTGGGTTTGTTTGTTTGAGCGTGAGTGTATTTGTTAGAGAGAGAGAGAGTGTGTGTGTTTTTGTGTGTTCGTGTGTGTGTGTGTGAATGTGTGTCTGTGTGTCTGTGTGTGTGTGTGAGTGTGTGTAAGTGTGTGTATGTGTGATGATGAATGTGTGTGTGTGTGTGTGTATGTGTGTGTGTGTGTGTGTGTGTGTGTTTGTGTGTATGTACGTGTGTGTACGTGTTGTAAAAGGGTCTTTTCACGAGACGTCCAATGTCAATGTCCTGTGGCGAGGTTTTTATACAACACTTTGTGACTTTTTCAAGTTTGTGGTCCTCGTACAGAGTCAACAGTTCACTCTTCACTGTTGACCTCCACACACCAAGATTTGAACACTGAGGTTTTCACTCTGTGGGTCTTTCCTTCTTGCCAGAATTTAAACACTAAGTCTTTCACTATAATAAGTCTTTCACTCTGTGGGCTTCCACTCTTCAGGATTTGAACACTCAGTCTTTCACTCTGTGGGTCTCTTTTTCATGTCAGGGTTTGACCGGAAAGTCCTTCACTTGATCATTCAGAAGTTACAGAAAAAAAGTTGCTCGTTTCCGATGCCACTAAAGTGAGGTAAAAAAGTTTAAAAATCGTGGCGCAACTTATCTTCAAACATCTTTTTAAAGGGTGAATCAATGTAACCCATACTTTGCACAGCGGTTTGTATCAATTTGTCTCAACTATGTCTTATTTTATTTCAACAACAATTGAGGCTAAATTAAAAAGGTTTTCTTTATAAATGTATATGAAATACTATAAATCTCCGTCACGCGCAAAATGGAATTGTTCACAGCACTTCCCGCTTCTCTTTCACATTTTGCGAACGGATGTGGCCTGCGTCACAGCTCACAAATAACACTTGTTAGCGGCAAAACTAATTTAAAGAAATCCATTTTATACTGAACACTCTTTTGCAAAAAAAGTTCTCAAAACATGCGTTCAATAAACATAATTTCGCTATAACATTTTTTTTTTTTTAAATGATGGACTTGCTTTTAAAAGCGATATTGTCCCTGCTGTAAACCTTTTAAAATCTTTAGAAACCACCCACTTGGATGCTTTGTTAATATTTATTAAGGAATTTTCTAGGAGAGAGCTAACAGGTGTTTACAAATATATTGATCAGTTAAGACAAAAATTAAATTGATACAAGTCACTGTGCAAAAGCTGGAGAGTTTATGTTCGATAGTTGTGGAGATTTTTGACAATAAGTTGCACCACGAACTTTTGAACGCACTATAATGATATAGTTAATACGTTATGTTTGTCTCCATCGCTTTCATAACGCTTACAAGAAATCTTGATTTTCTAAACAAGAGAAAAGAGAAAGAGAAAGCAACTTCAGTATGAATCAAATCATCTTGTTAAAACCAACTCGATAGAAAATGAAAATTAAATGACGTTGAAAGGAAAAGCGTTTTTGTTTCTGATACGACCACAACATACTTACGGCTCCTAAAAATTCACATCTTGCGACTGTTTTAGCGTACGGTTTTGCACTCAAAAAGTACGATATGAGTAGAAATTATCCCTTTGACCTCTAATAGCATTACACTCATGTACATTCAAAAGATAAGAAAATATTTTTAAAAACCACACATTTATTTCCGATACAACTTGATCTAGTACATCTACATTATGATGTATCCACAATTTCAGCAAAACTTTACTAGTCTCAAGTGCAAAAGTGAAAAACGTCTGCATGAGCACTAAAATGTCTTTCACTCGGAATAAAAAAAGGTTTAATGTAAATTGGCGTCGGTGGCCTAGTGGTTAGGCTCTCGGACTCGCAACCGTAAGGTCTTGGGTTCGAATCCCGTCAGGGGCCCGACATTGTGTTCTTGGGAAAGGCACTTTGCACAAATTTTTCTCACTTCACCCAGGTGGAAATGGATACCCGGCTATAGACAATAAACGATCTTGTCAGTTTGATAGTGTTTGAGCGCGTGAAATCCGCAGCTTGCACTGTATGCTTCTGCGGAAGCCGAGAATGTTTCTGGCTGTTCTCAGAGAGTCTGCTGGGGTAATAATAGTTGTAAAGAGCATAGAGCATGCTCTTGAGCATGGATATGCGCTATATAAATGCAATTATTATTATTATTATTATTATTATTATTATTATTATTATTATTATTATTATTAAAGTAGGCACTTTCGTTTAAAATACACCAAAAACGTAATGTTGGAGTAAGTAACAAGACTAGATCTAAAGAGCTACGCGTCATCTTCCAGGTAAATAGCATGATTTTTTAAGTCATATGCGTACAATCAACAGATTTTAGTATAGGATAATTTCTGTATTATGTAATGATGAACAGAACAATAATATTAATAATATTAATAATGTTTAGTATAATAATAGTAATATCATCCTAATGATAATAATAATAATAATAATAATAATAATAATAATAATAATAATAATAATAATAATAATAATAATAATAATAATAATAATAATACAAATCTTTCATCAAAAGGATCGAATGGAGAAAATGCGTTCTATTTCATCCGGTAATATACCTGGGGAAGTGAATGGACAACGAGCTAGAACAATGATTAAAGCTGATCTAGATCTAGGCACATTGTCATGGAATGTCCGCGGACTTGGAGATAAATGACGAATGTCATGGAGGGAAAGAGTCATGGGTTTGTCAAACATAAGGAAGAAAGGCAACAAGGCCATTATAATGATTATTGATTCACAAAGGCTACCTCCTGATCTGGATGAGTGGAACACCTGAAAACGAGAGGGGTAAACCCTGTGTTGCTTTCATCATACACTCACAGGAAGAGTTGATCAAATCGATCAAAACAATCAATTTTCGAAGAGATGAATTGTGAAAATTCTAATACAGTAAGATACATTCAAACATCGATACTCGTAAAGACCGCTATGCAATGGAAGGTAGACAATCATATTATTTATAAGAACTGTGTAAACACGATAACCCAGTCAAGAAAAATGTGAAAAGCTTTACCGTTCTGGACAAAGACATTTCTGGTAATTTTCTTTCGATTATTGATTTGGACATCAAAAGACCAAGGAAAGAAATAAAAACAGTTAATTCCGGAACTTGAAAGAAAAGAAAAAAATTAAACAAGTTTCAATGTGATATTCGGGACGTTCTAGCTAAACAGAGAAACCCTCAACACCATCATGAGGAATATTATAGATGATCAAGCTCCTGCAAAAAAAAACCCCACCGGAAATTTTCTCATATCCTCCTTCTGTAAAATGGTTTAACCTAGCAACGAAGGATGCAACCCCCCCCCCACAACTTGAAATAAAAGAGAAAACAAAAACAAAAACAAAAGACAAGCGAAAAGAAAATTGAGAAAAGCACGACTTAAAATGCATAAGGGAATATAATTGTTATATTCATGAAGAATAATGTTACTAAATTAATGATCACCCAGGCCAGGCGTACTTTCTTTTTTTCGTTAATGTTAGAACTTGTAAGGAACTTTTTGATGTCTATATTGGACTATTTGACAACCAAAATAGACCAGTATTACACCCTGGCACCGACAAAGAACTTTGTAGTGGCTTTTCTGTCTTTTTTCTCTCTGACAAAATCACCCCCATTAGACAAGGACTCGATAAAATGTGCGCAATTGCCCCAAATTACCATTCGTTTGAGGGGCTAGTCATTGATTACTTTACTACAGCTACGGAAGAAGAAATAAAAAAGATTGTACAGATAGTCCATCAAAAACTTGCGTCTTAAACCACCAGCATTAAACAATATTGAGAACAACTTCTTCCACACATCATCCAAATTGCAAAATGTAAAGATTCTCTCACCACAGGTACCTTATTGTATTAAAACAGCACATGTTGGACCCTTTTTGAAAAAAAAGCTGAACTTGATGAAAAGGACTTAACATTTTTTAAACCATTTTCAAATCTTTCATTCTTAACCAAAAATTCTATAAAACGTTGTGTCTAATAGACTCTTACAGCAAATCAAGGCAAACATTATTAGCGAAGTTTATCAGTCAGCATACAAGGTACACCATAGTACCGATACAGCGTTACATAATGTCTGTAGGCCTACTGATAATATTTCAAAGGAAATTGATAAAAGAAAGGTGTGTCTTCTTACTCTTTTGGACCTTTCGGCTACGGTCGATATTTTACTTGGTGTCACCAGATATTAGCCCATATTAACTTGCAGGCTGGAGAAAGCCCCTGGAGCTTTTATTTAGAGAGGACTCTCGATCAAGTCTAAGTGCCAGATCCAATGGAGAAAACGCATTACGGTACATCCTCTAGTGATTGGTAAACGTGTTCCTTTGACGTTGGACAGTCGGTGCTATATATGTCATTAGAGGACATGAAAACCTCGTGGTATGGCCAGCCCCGCTGTACCGCCAACTTCATGCTCGTCCCAAGGTAAGCGGTATAACGAGGTTTGACTGTAATAATAA